CAGAGCCATCAAGTGTTGAACATTCATTTAAAATAACTCATTTGCATTCAGATGAGATATGGAATATACATGTGGTTCAACGCTACTAATACTACAATGTTGTATTGCTTCCCCCTTCTCTCCAGTGATTAGCATTTAAATATGCTTTTACAGTTAGACTTGCCAGAAGTGAAATTTGGCTTTGAATGAGAAGTGAAACAGGACTTCGGGGCAAAGGGTGTGACAAAATACTAATAAAGTAATTCATTGTATTGCTTCCTCTTGCAATATGTGATCACTAAATATCCATGTTTTGTTAAAATACTTTAATTGCTTCTTGTAAAAGCAGTGTAAGCTAATGTGAAATCAGCCAGCTTGCAGTGAAGAGCAATAAAGCCAAAGGAGGTAAAAGCTGGAGAGCTCAGAGAGCTGCGGTAATCAAATCAACAATTAGTTCATTCAGTTTACTCACTATCAAAGTTGAATAATAATAGCTACATTAATCACAATGCACTTACTCTTTGGCTTTTACCCTAGTCAAAAAATCCGTTAATAAACTTTCAGTTAGCCTAAATTCTGGAGGCGTTTGTAAACGACCGTATAGTTTGGGTGTTTTTTTTTGTTTGTTTTTCGTTCCATTTCTCTGCTGTGATTTGTGCGTTTGTTGGTTTTAGCAGAGAGTCATAGCCTGGCATCCTACTAATGACTGGCATGTCCTAGGGAGAAAGAATGAGAGGGGGAGGAGCAATGCAGACACTTGGCCCAAAAAAGGATGCCTTGCTTTGTTTTTCTCATTGACTAGAAAAGTACACTGTTGGAGTATACACAATCCAGTTGGACCGGGGTGGGAGCGAAAAGGACGCAACACTGATTGGCTATTAGGAGCTAGCTGTGTTACATCACTGGGGGTGTTGGTGGAGCACAGTAAACAAAGAGGGAAATGTTTGAAAGACTCTCTGTGCTGCTGGACAGCATGACCACAATACATGCTACTACGCTGCCTCTTCTACCTCCCTACTTTCATTTGCACTTAAAAAAGACGGTTATTAAGTTTTATAGAGTTGTTGTTCTTTTTTTTCTCCCTTTTTTTTGTAAGAAAACAAAAGTTGAGGACTAAGAAATGCCAAATCCAGTAAGTGTTTAAAATCCAGCCTTGTTTACATCCATGAGTGCTCACTGTTGGTGTCCTGCTATTTTCCTGCCTGCACATTGTTCCATACCTCAAATTACTCCCACCTTTTAATCCTCTTTTGATCAACCTTAAAGGAATGTGTGTCAGACACATGCATACACACAAACACCGGGAATCTCAGTTCATTGAATGGTGGTTGCAGATTTTGGTTTACAACAAATATCTTTGCACTATGTGATGTAGAGTGGTCCTTCTACTGCATACTGACGTGAACTACATTTGCCTTATATTTTTATCTAGTAAATGATACATGTAACAGTGTAACTTTGTACAGGTAGTCACTTAGAGGCACAGAAGGTTTGAGATTGATGTTGTTTGAACTTACATCGTATCTAACGCCAGTGACTCTCTTGGCGTGGATAATATATTTTTGCATTTCCGCTTCACTTTATCCCCGTCAGTGAATCCTCTCCCTCTTATATACCAGGTAGCTCCAGTACTTCCGTGCAGACCTTTTCTCTGTTGTGGGAGTTTTTGATATAATTCAAATCCTTTACAGAGTCAATCAAGTTTAATTTTCGGATAATTAAGACAGGATAAGTGAGATAAAGTGATTATAGTGCCACATTCTCTCAAAATTTACATCCCACCAGCCAATGATGATTTTGTTTTGATGGCTTCTCTAACAAACACCTGCAATCGGTGGGAACTTGGCTCATGTGGTTTTATACCAAACCCAGAGCAGAACAGGGACTACTATCACTACTTGCACTTCAAGGTGGTGGAGTTGGTTTCGGTACAAGTAATGAGGAACTCGTTGGCAAGACAGCTCAGTGATGTCTCCCTGTTCTCACTGTAGATTTTCTCTGGAAGTTTTGCTTTTTCTCACCCTCAAAATTTTACTGCATTCTTGCAAAAGAAATAGGTAGCAGGTGAATAAATAAATTCTCAATGATTGCAAATGTGACTAAATGTAGTATGTTTTATTCAGGAGTGTAGTACTGTTTGATGGCTGCATAATTTAACATTTTGGTTACCTATGCTGCAGTATAAGAGTAATTTGAAAACTGCTGTCATTATTCTATGACGTGAATCAGCCGGTTAGTGATTTAGCATCAAGATCAGTGGCCATGGCCATAACCAGGAAGAGAAAGAACAAGGGCTTTCTTGGGAGGGAAAGGGGCTAAGGGGCCATTCACTGTCAACTATACACTAAGCAGAGATCATTGAAGACTAGACTGGAAGTTGTGTCCCAGCAGTTGCATAAATTTAAACACCACTATATGTTCCTTTTATAGAGATTGTTAAGACCTTTTGGTTCATTTGATTTTTTTTTTTTTATTTGTGTCAGATGGAACATAATTTGAACCTTGAGTAGTGGAGTAAAAACCTTTGTGCTGTGATATTCATTGCTTTTGAGTTTGAGATTTGTGGTTATTTCATCTTATTGTATAGAGGATTTGCATTAAGCATGGATACACTTCTATTTTTGCCAGACAGACAAAAATAGAAGTGTATCCATGCTCTAGCTTTTCAGCCATAGCTTAAGACTCTTCTAAAGATTTGCTTATAACATTTGAATCAGAGAACCAAATGTTCTGTGCCACATGCAAACCTGCAGAGTGCCCTGGGTTTTCCAAGTCAAATATGTTTCAGGAAAGATGGTCCACTGAAGGAATCCCGTAAAAATGTGGAGAACACGACTGCACTATCAGATAACACTACAGTTTATTTAGTTTTGCCTTAAAAAAAACATTTAAAGGTCAATATTGTGGTAAATGTATAGCAGGCCATCTATCTTCTATCTATGTATTGAAAATATTCTGCTGTTGTATCTTTAAAATCTGTTGCAACATGAAATTTACGAAATCGTCTAAGCACTCTGATAAATTTTACTGCACAGCAAGAGGCAGGAAATCAAAGTCACCCCTCTATTATACTTCATTGTTGATCTTTTTTTTTCCAACTTCACCATTACTGGCTTTGTATTTTCAGTATTAACTGTAACTATTTTAATCTCAATGGTGGCAAATATTTGGAATATACTGATTTTTTTTTTTTTAATATATATATCTGTATTTAAACAGGTTTGGTGTGCTAATAAAAGTTAAAAAGCAGATGGGTGTAGTGTTAATGAAACATGTTGTGCTACAAGAGAAGAATTTATACGACACACTTGGTTTACCCTATCACAAAAAGTAGCTTGCATCCCTCTGTTGAACAAGTCAAGGTAGAGCTAGTCTGACAAATAACTACCCATACAATGATTTTATAATTTCAGCATGTATAAATAAAATGAGCTAGAAAACATTTTTTTTGTCATGGTTTATGAATTTTGCTACCTCTGGGGGAAAAAAAGCAAGAGATGGCTACTTAGCTCTTTTCTAGTATTTGTAAAAACATTAGCTAATCTGCTGATACAGCTTCATGTTTATCATACAAATATAAGCCTGCTATCAACAGCCTTATCTAATGTCTTGGCAAGGAAGCAAAACAGGGTATTTCCCTTTCTCAGACTATACCTTAAAGTTGTCGTGTGTAGCCAGTGTGCTCCCTTTGATCACAATAGAGAATTAGATTCATAAATAAATGTGTAAAGTATAAAAAAGGTATAGTCATTTCTAGGGATGGGTATCGTTTAGGTTTTATCCGATACCAGTACCAAACCGGTACTTTTGAAACGGTGCTGGTGCTTAAAGAATGGAGAACACAAAATTGGTCCAAAAACCTCTCATGTTTAGCTGTGTTTTTTTGGGGGGGTTTTTTGTAAAAAGATAACAATGTTAGCCTTTTCTGCAGCTATAGGGCATATATGGTATCACTCTTGGCTGGAAGCAGTGCTTAATCAATGGAAAAAAACACAAACTTTGTCCAAAAACCTCTCATGTTTAACTGTTTTCCACTTTTTCTTTGGTCATTTTAGCCTTTTTGG